TTTTTTCTTTTTATATATTTTGTTTGTCTCGATTCCCTTCTTTCCTCATTGGTATAGCTTTCACCTACTTCTACAAGGGAGACCGTTACTGGAAATTCAACAACGAGAAGCTAAAGGTGGAGCCCGGATACCCCAAATCGGTACTCCGGGACTGGATGGGATGTAGTTCGGACGACCGCCGGGAGGGAGAGGAAGTGATCATCATTGAGGTGGACAATGGAGAGGAAGCGGAAGTGAACGCCGCCGCCGTGGTGCTCCCCATCCTCTTGCTGCTCACCGTCTTTGCGCTCGGGATTGCCCTCCTGATGTTCAGGCGCTACGGGGTCCCCAAACGGTTGTTGTATTGCCAGCGTTCTTTGCTGGACAAGGTGTGACGAGGCGAGCCCGTCTACCCCTGTCTCTTTCACCCTTTGCCACCCGCTCTCCCCCGGTGTGCTCCTGTCTTGAAACCCCCTTCCCTTAGTCACCTGCTCCTCTGTTTGCCTTGCTTCCCTCTTCGTTTCCAGTGGACTTTTCCTCAGGCCCTTCCCATCTTCCTTCTGGTGCTTGTCGTGCTTCCTCCACGGAATGTTGTTGAGCATGCCGTGTCTCCCGTCTCCCATTTCTCTTGCCTCTTCCCCATCTCCTCCATCTTTCTCACGCTTACCTTCCCTCGTCTCTCGTGTCGCTTTGCATTCATTCCCTCCTGATTTTTTTTCCATGCGGTGGGTGTGCTGAGCACGCTCGAGAACCTTAACTTGAGGAGGCGAAAGAGGACCTCTGCATGCTGTTTTTGGCTTCCCCAGACTTACCACGCCATTCCCGTGATGGGATCGGCATCCGTTGACCTTGCAGGAAAAGGAGACTTTGCTTTGACTTGCCATCTTGAAAATTGGGGGGTGGGGTGAGATAAGCCAACATAAACTCCCGCTACAGTCCTCTCTCTTTTTTTAGGGGTTTTTCATGGCCACCGTCTGTCCAAAATGCTAGTCAACAAGATCAATCCTTGTCTCTCCGCCCCCCACCCAATTTTTCTCTTTTGTGGCCTTCAACCATTCCTTCTTAAGGGCAGATGGAGATCCATGATGGACGTCTTTTGTTGACTTGATCGCAGCAGGAAAGTAGGGTCTTTAAAAGGGGTCCGGCTTCAAGGAAGAGCGCCCGTGTGCAGAGATGGGAGGGGAATGGGGGACTTATCGGGAAAGTGGGAGGAGCTATATAGACGAGGGGAGGGAAGGTTGCAACATTCCAAGGGGAAGGGCAGTGAAGCCAAATGGCATTAAGCATTCCAAAGGGAATGGTATCATTCCATTGGGTGTGGCTTGAAGAGGAGGGAGGAGCCACAACTGACCAATAGAAATGCTTACCTGGTGGGGAATAGAAGGGTGGGCCATCACTGGGACAAAAGGGGAGGGGATCTAAAATGTGGGGTGGGGCTTAACTGTCCCGTTCCTTTCAGGGGAGGGAGGTACCTTAAAGGGCCAGATCTGATTTTTTTTGGGGGGGGAGGAGGGGAAGGAAAGATTTCCCCCAAACATAGGTGGAAGGGGCCATTAGTACACTAACACAACCAAAAGTTTGAGCGTGAGATAAAAAAAAGAAGGTGGATGGCAAGGACAAAAGAATAGAGGGGTCGTCGTGTTCATGTTTTGGCGGCCCAGATCCAAAAAAGCGTTGATTCCAAAATTCTGGTTTCAGTTGCAAGAGTTTTTTTTTACAATGATTGCTTCTAATGCATTATAGGTTCTGCTAAAACAGCACCACAATTTGCAACAAGGGAACAAAAAAAAGGGGAATTTTTTTTGTAGTATTGCGCCAGAGAACTGCCTCAAACTGCCTTGATCCTCTTTTCTTAGGGAATTTTTTTTTTATTTTTTTGGATGAATATGTAATTTTAATTATTCTATAAAAATGCCTTTTTTAAAACAAAAAATTTAAAATAGTGCATTTACAGGGTGGGGGAAAAGTGAATAGGGGTGGGGGGAGAACCCCATATGCCTGCAGGCAGGAATTGGGGTACCTTAACCCTCCCCTTTTCAGACCATCATTTAAAAAAAAGGGAGGGCTTGGGAATATGGGTTTTCAAATGGTCTTCAAACGGAATTAAACTGTGTTTAACGATACATTTGTGCTGTGGGTGGGTTTTAATAATGTTTATTGTTCCACTTTATTATTATTATTGTTGTTGTTATTTGCTATTAATAATAAACACCCATTCTTCTGGAGGGAAATATACATACATTGCTGGGAGCCTATAGGCTGTTAAATTGTGTTATTCCTTTTAATCTTTAGCAATAAAAACCCCATTTCTGGGTAGAAATGGACTCAAAATGTCGGGAGTTTTAAAAATTTATTTTTTATTTTTTGGTTCCCCGTACAAGTTGTTCCTAACTATTTTATTAAAAAGAATCACCAAATAATTTTTTTAAAAAAAGAAAAACAAAACAATAAATGCTGGAATGTCATCCCCTTTTTAGTAGTATTTTGTATAACAGTGTGGTTTATTTTTCTTTTGGGGAAAAATAAATAAATACTCTGGGGAATTTCGATTGGTTTCTGAACTGTTTGCTCTTTTCCCATTTCCACTGGCCCAAAGGGCAGAAAACACTGGTACAGAAAAGTGTGTTGTTTGGCCTGTCAAGAGTGAGGTTCTGCAGAAGTTGACTCTGAATTAAGTTCTGTTGAATTCATGGACATTTTCTGAAGTAAGCCATGGATATAGGGTTGTGGCCGCAGTTTTAGAACAAAGTTTTAGAAGAATAAAAACATCCCTCACCATTTTGAGGGCACTTTGCATAAAACTATCAGTGATGGCACTGCGGATTAAACTGCAAAAGCTTCTGTGATGCAAGTTCAGAAGACCTGTAGTCGTAAGATCGAATCCAGGCATCGGAGGGAGCTCCCGTCGCTCGTCCCAGCTCCTGCCAACTTAGCGGTTCGAAAGCATGCAAAAATGCGAGTTGATAAATAGGGACCACCTCGGTGGGAAGGTCACGGCGTTCCGTGTCTAGTCGTGCTGGCCACGTGACCACGGAAGATTGTCTTCGGACAAACGCTGGCTCTAAGCCTTGGAGACGGGGATGAGCACCGCACCCTAGAGTCGGACGCGACTGGACTAAATATCAAGGGGAACCTTTACCTAGCAAAAACAGGTAGCGGAACATCACACTTAATTGTATGATATCAACTTATGGCAACCCTTTCAAGGGTTTTTTTTAGCTACCAAGTCTCCCCTCCTCTTCAACTGGGGTAACTATATGATATCAACTTATGGCAACCCTTTCAAGGGCTTTTTTAGCTACCAAGTACTAGAAGGGGGGGTCTCCCCTCCTCTTCAACTGGGGTAACCATATAGCTCACCCAAGGCTACACAGGCTGGTGCTTTTTTCCCGGAGAGACGAGGGGAATCGAACTTCCAATCTCTGGCTCTGCAGACAGGTGTCCAACTCACCGAGCTATCCAAAAGTGACTTGGATGAACCCTCAAAACCAAGCCACGAGCAGCTGCCTATGTAACATTTTTGGGAAGCTGGAGAACAGACGATTGGAGGGAATCTGCATTTCTTGGCAACTCCTTCTCCTGCTTCACTTTCCTAACAAGACCTTTGTTCTCATGCAGAGCTTGGATAAGTTATTTCCCCCCCCCCCCCCTTTTTTTTTTTTTTTGCATGATCCTCCCCCAGAATCCCTCAACCAACATATGGGGAGGTTTGGACTACTAACATTTCGAAAATCTGGCTCCTGTTTGTCAACATTGCAGTTCATGGAGCTTCCAAAGATGACATAATACAGGCGATGTTATCACCGTCATGGGACATGGTTTAATCTTTCCCCACAGCCTGCGGTTTCTTATTTTTGTAAATTCCCCATCGTCTTGGGGAAACGGAGATTCTTTCCAGTTACTTAGACGCACGACACAGTCTGAGATTTTGAACCTTCTTAGGATGTATCTGGAGAAACCTCCAAAGGACCATTGTTGTTGTTTAGTCGTTTAGTCGGTTCCAGTTACTTAGACGCACGACACAGTCTTCTGAGATTTTGAACCTTCTTAGCATGTATCTGGAGAAACCTCCAAGGGACCATTGTTGTTGTTTAGTCAGTTTCAACTCTTTGTGACTCCAATGGACTGGAGCACGCCAGGCCCTCCTGTCTTCCATTGCCTCCCAGAGTTGGGTCAAAATCATGTTGCTCACTTCGATGACACTGTCCAACCATCTCGTCCTCTGTCGTCCCCTTCTCCTCTTGCCCCCACTCTTTCCCAACATCAGGGTCTTCTCATGAGAAAGGACCATACCACACAGCAAACAAACAAACAAACAAAAAAACACAGCATTATCTTCATAATTCAGCTAGAATAGTGGTGGGGATCCAGTGGATTCCAACTTGTATTGGCCCCAACGCTTGTTTTATTTTATTTTTGGCCTGGTCAAATTTCCCTTTTAACTCAGGACAAGCCACCCTCGTTTAAACGGGGGCGTAGAGACAGATTCGTAAGAATGAGCAGCTACGGAAACAGGATGGTGTGCTAACGTTTCCCTGGCCAAAATTAGCTCGATAAAATCATTGTTGGCAAAACTCAGTGCCTGGTGGCCAAGGGAGGCTTTCGATGTGATGATGATGATGCAGGGCAGACAGGAAGAACGGAAGGCTTCCTCATCTTCCATTCAAAATTGTATAGCACACTTGTATACCTCTTGTTTTTGAAATGAGCTGGACCTCTCTTGAAAATTGCTGTCCTTCCTTATCCTCTTGTGCAATGTTTATTTTGAAAGCTTGCTTCCTAGTATTTTCCTTTGCAAATCAACACCGTCATTCTGAGAAATACTGTGCCTTGGAGGGATTACTTTTGCTTGCCAAAAGCCGAAAAAGGTTGAGTTCGCTTTGTACATGGCCAGGTGCATTGTGTTTTTTTGGACTTCTGCAAGTTTTAGAGTTGCGCTGTAGCATTTTACACCTGCCTGGATAGGGACCTGTTGATTGCATCTTGGTTCAAACTAAGATTCATATTTCTTCTGGGGGAAAAATAGTGTCAGTCGCAGGCTGGAGACGCGGCAATATTCATTCTCTAGGGTTATTTAATTGCATCTGTTTGCCATAACTAATTGGCGCCTGCTTGCATTTTTGTTGAAGACAACGTTGGATAGCTGGGGAAGGAGAATGATTATACCATACTGAATTCCATTAATCTATTTTAGCTATTTTGATTCATTCTCTGTCTTTCTCACAATTACAGGATGGCCGACGAAATGTTTTTTTTAAAAAATGGTCTAAGGGAGCCGGTATCCGATTCAAGCGTTTCTGAGGATATTGTGTGTGTTTACAAAGGGTCCCGAATTATGGGGAAACGGTTCCCAGATTTAAAACAAGCGACAGCTCTTAAAACACACACATTTGCACACAACTATATAAAAATCAAATCGCCAGAGATGGGCCGCCTGACACACAGCCCCCGTATCCTGTCTCTACCAAATGTGACGTCTGTGTAACCACAACTTCCCGCTCGATCCAACTGAGTCAGGAATAATTTCGTGGATATAAATGAGGACAGCAAGCTGTCCCAACCAAACGTTCGTTGTAGGCACTAAGATGGGGGTAAAACCAGGGAGCCCCCACCCCACACCAAAGCTATAGAAGGGGAGAAGGCAAGGGTTGGAGGTTTGAACCTAAACAGCCGATGCTAGGAGCTTATGCATCTTTCTTTTCTCTCTCCATGTCCCCCCCACCCCACCCCTAATCCTTTGGCCGTCCCTCCGGGTCCCGTGCGCTTGGCCGAAGTCCCAGGCTCTGAGCTCACCATGCTTTCGTGGCTTCCACATCTGGAAGCAATTACAGAGGGGAGGAAAAAAAGACGTGTTCAAAACACAGCTGGAATTAGCAAGGCAGAGAGGGGTGGGTGGGTGGGTGGGAATGGGAGAAATTAACACAACCCCCCCTCCTTACGTTCCCCCACCACACCCCATCTCCAGTGTGGCTTTTCAGCTCCATCGCTTTGTCAGTCAGGCTCCTGAGATGGAAAGAGGACAGTTTTGGAACGACAGAAGGATCCGATCCTCGCTCGGCTCCCACCTCTGGCTGGGCCACTGACCCAGATGTGGCATGGAAGTTCCTGTATTAGAAAGCTAAACACAGATGATTCCCAAGGCCTGAGAGGAGGGAAACGCTGGCCAAGACCTAGATCCGAGATGAAGGGAAAGGTTGAACACTTACGAGAGCCATTGTGAGAACTTTTGTGGCCTTAACGGCACAGCGCCGTAAGACACGGGCGTAAGATCCCATTGTGAATTTAAAAGGAGCATAATGCGGTGCCTCCATCCACCAACAGTTTCCTTTCCAAGAAAGAAATGTGAATTATGAGGTGGAAGAGATGGCGATTTATTTTCCTAACATTCGCCTCCGGTTTTCTTAATGTCAGCTCCCCGGGGGCAAAGCCCTACGCAAATGGGCCCTGCCTTGCTTAGCAGCCGTGTTGCCAACTTGGGGGAGGGGCCCTCCCGATGGACTACAGGCCCCATCCTCCCCCACCAGCGCAGCCCATTGGAGACAGTCTGCAGTCCAGCACACAAAAAAGTCCAACTTGGGACAATAAGAAGAGTTCGTGCATGCCGCGCACATGAACGCTGTTGTGCATCTTTGAGCACAGGGCGCTCTTCGTAACTGAAGTCCAATCTGATTTTTAAAAAGTTGCATTGGAAAATAAAAGAAACGACTGGGATACATAGGTGTCTTCCTGCCCCACTTTGATTTTTAAAAAAACAACAACACACACAACCCAAACACCACCACCCCAATGACCAACTCTGCCACCCAGAGTAGACCATTGGTCTAGATGGGCAGGGTATAAATCTAATAAAATAAATGAATTTTAAAAACCCTAAAACCCTACGATTTTGAAAGCACAAAAGTTCTGGATAGCTCCATGGTTCAGGCATCTAGTTCGGAGTTCAATTCCCCCACGGTGTGTCTCTTTGACAGGGGCTGGACTGGATGATCCAGAGGGTCCTTTCCGGTTCTGCAATTCTAAGATTATGATGATTATAAGAAACTTCTGGATAGCTCGGTGGTTTAGGACTCTGGCTGCAGAGCTGGAGGTTGGAAGTTCGGTTCCCCTTGACAGGCGCTGGACTCGATGATCCATACGGTCCCTTCCAGCTCTGTAGTTCTAAGGTGACGATGATGATGATGATGAATCATGTTACCAGCCTCAAGAGAAGAGGACAGGAAGGAACTGTGCAACTGTATGTATATGAATATGAATTTATGAATATGGTGTGTGTGTGTGTTTGTGTGTATGTATCTCCTCCCCCGGCCATATATTTTAAGATCCCCTCATCCTTTTCCTTCCAGCCTGCCTGCCTTCCTTCCGTAAGGTGACCTCAGCTCCAGCAGGCAGAGAGGTTCCCACAGGGCCAAGAAGGAGAGGAGATAAAAAAATAAAATAAAAATTCAAGGGGGAATCCATACAGCAGGAGGGAAGGCAGGACTTTGGCAGAGAGAGGTTAGCTGCATTTTTTCCCAGGCTGGCTCTTGGCCACCTCCGGGTTCGTAGCCAGCCTGGAATCTCCCCCAGCATCCAAAAAACACACGCTTTTCAGGCCAGCTGACAGAGGCAGAATAAGAAGCCTGGATTGACTCTTTCTCTGCTTTGCTCTAATGAACTGATGTCTGAATTGGGCCATACAGGCAAAAATGAAATCACAGGAGCCATCAAACCAAGAAAACAACACCGAACTGAAGAAGAAAAACAGCCACCCACAAATAAAGTATTTCTGCCATACATCAAAGGGGTCACGGACCGCATGGGGAAACCTTTGAAAAAACACAACCTACAAACAACCCCACAAAAATGCAACAAATGTTACGGTCAGCAAAGGACAGAAGGGACCTCCCTCACCAGTGCAGGAGTATGCCAGATACCTTGCAGTTGTGGCCAGGTATATTTTGGAACCACAAAACGAAGCATCCGCACCAGAATCAAAGAACACGAGAGACACTGCAGACTAAAACAACCAGAAAAATCAGTAGTAGCTGAACATGCCCTAAAACAAGCTGTACATGAAATTCTATTTCAAAATACTGAAATGCTGGACAACACCAGCAATCATTAACGTTAGAATGCACAGGGAAGCCATTGAAATCCACAAACATCAGCAGAACTTCAACAAAAAAGAGGGAAGTTTGAAACTCAATAAAACTTGGCTCCCAGCACTGAAAAAGACAGCATGCAAAAGGTCAACAAACTCTACCCAGCCAGAAGGACTGGGGATCACTACACATAAAAGACCAGCTAACAACACCCATCAATCACAGTGACAGATAATCTTTCCTCCTTATCACAACAATACACCCACAACAAAAACACACTGATCACCATAATCACCCATCTCCTGAAAAAGACAAAAGCTGATCTCACAGCCATAAATACTCAACTCCCAAACAAACTGCACCAAAGCACAGATTGCTGTTCTCTGAAGATGTCGGCCACAGAGACTGGAGAAACGTTAGGAAGAACGATTTTCAGAACACAGCCAAAGAAACATTAGGAAGAACAACCTTCAAGACACAACAACCATTAGATCCCGGCCGTGAAAACCTTCGCGAATACATTAAACTGATGTTTTCTTCATAACATGCCCAGAAAATCTACCAGCCCCTGCTTGGGAGTTTAGGACCCTCTTGGCCAACAAATAATTGTTATTAGCAATTATGAGAGGAGTGGTTTATTCTGCAAGTGATTCTGCAGCACTCTAAGCCAAGAATCTTACCTTACTAAATTACGATGTACACACTTATTTTTCCTAGCTTTGTTTTTCTCACTCAGGCAAGCAGGTAATCATATGAGCCCTGGAGATCTTAACATTGCATTCAAACTCAGGAAGAAGATGATGGTAGAGGTTAAGGAACCTTCAGAGTTGCAGGTTTCCTGGACTACAACTTTCAGCAACCCCAGCCAACGTAGGTGATAGGTCAAATTAGGCAGGTTGTATTATAAACTATCTAGAAGATATCACATTACCTAAACCCTGGTTTATTGTTCTCAGAATTGCATGCCAGCTTCTAACCAAGGTTTGTTGCTGTCTTACTAAATCTTGGCTTGTTAGGACAGAATAAACCATATTCCCAGTTAAGGCATAATGCTAGCCACTCTCCATCGGCTTTGTTGGCCAGTTCACATACGTGGTAAAACCAGAGTGAAGGGGCTGCAGGCACCAGTATGTATATAAATTATGGTTTATAAAGCTAGGATCTATGAAATACATGATGCACAAACCCAGCACCGTGACCAGGCCCACATCCGGTGAGCTTCATTCATCGAGCAAAGCGTAAGGGTGACAATACCTTTAACTGACCAATAAAATAGCATAAGCAAGCAAGCTTTCTGGTTCTGTAGGACACTGTAATGCCTCATACGGAGGGAGAACTGGAGAAAACCGAAAGTCCTGGCTAAATGTTCACACTTGCAGGTTGAAGACTTCCAAGATGGGATCAAAAATATAAAAGATTCTGCCTGAGCTAAAGGGGCAGCATCTTCCTCTGGCAAGGCCCAACTTTGACGAGATTTCTGGAAGGCTCAAAAGCTTGTCTCTGCATGACATTTTATGGTTCAATAATGGTGTGACTTGGCCACCTGGTGGTCTTGAGCATGGATTTCTACATTTCTCGTTTGCAGCTTGTGTCTAAACCTGATACTTAAATTCTTGCACAGGTCTGGCACTGAAACCTGTTAGGAGGGTCCACCAGCCATTCCGAACAGGGGCCGTCTGGGGGTCCCCCATGGGGGGCCCTTGGAACATTGAAGGGGGTCACAGACTGGAAATAATGATTCACGCAATACCTTATAAGGTTCGTTATGCGACTTATACAATCCTGATTCGGCCTATATTTCTTTCAGATTGTATTTATGGCCAGGGCCATTAAAAGCCTATCCCAGTTCAAATAATGCACATGGAGATGCTCTCAAGTCCAATTTGGTGTCTGGTGCAATCACTATCTCCAGGAAGTTTGCCCTGGGCATATGCACCAAGTGAAAAGATGCAAAGGGAAGACCAAATTGCTATTAAGAGTAACCTATGCAGACTTCTTACTTTTAGGGCATGAGAAAGGGTTTAATATTTAGAGCACAAAAGCTCTAAACGCTATCCCAAAGGAGGCCAGGCTAAATTGATGGAGAACTAAAACAACACACCTTGCTGAGGGGATGAAGGCCAGAGTGTCTCCCACCAGGACAAGACTCTAGCCAGACCATCTGGAAATCAACTCCAACAAACTTCAAAGCAAAATAGGAAGATCAAAGAATAATTGAGTAAAATGGGGCTACTTGGATACAGGACTGATTTTTCAGTGTGTGCAGACATTCAATCCACGTGGCACTTAGGTGCATGCAATTTATACCCCATCAATGAGGACAAAAGAAGATTTAGCAAACGGCTGAAAGCACGCTATTGAAATAGATGGCTTCTGGTTAAAAAAAAGAGGCTAATTGTCTTAACATTTTCATTGGGCTTTCATTTTACCTATACTTCATCTACATGTCCGTAATTTTAAATTGTGCAATGGTTGGATAAGAAACGACAGTCGGGGCGATCTGGATCCTCCGAGACCTTGGATTAGCAAATTGTAGCCCCCCTCCGGTTGTTCAAATACGATATTCAAGCCCCCCTTTTTTCCCTTTTTAAGTCTGGAACTTAAAAGTGGATCAGAGTACGAACCTGGCATAGCTGTCCTATAATCCCCAAAAAAGTTGTGAGAGGCAATGGGGAAGGCAAGATGGAGAGTCTCACGTGAGCCTATGTGACCGTCCTCAAAGACCACTGAAAATTGCTTACTCCTGTTCCCTAGGATGCAGGTTCGAGTCACAGGACTTAAGCCGTCCAGTTGGACTTGTCACCACGGTGATTTGACTCGGGATTAGATTTGTGACATGGACCCACCAACCCCTCCCTTTTTTCAGAGGGGGATTGTTTTGAATAGGAACTTGGCCTTGGGTTTCGGATTTGGTACCAAACATTCAAACTTGGGCTTCGGTACCAAACATTCAAACCTGGGATTCGGTACCAAACATTCGAACTTGGGATTCGGTACCCAAGATTCGAACCTGGGATTCGGTACCAAACATTCAAACTTGGGATTTGGTACCCAAGATTCAAACTTGGGATTTGGTACCCAAGATTCAAACTTGGGATTTGGTACCCAAGATTCAAACTTGGGATTTGGTACCCAAGATTCAAACTTGGGATTTGGTACCCAAGATTCAAACTTGGGATTTGGTACCCAAGATTCAAACTTGGGATTTGGTACCCAAGATTCAAACTTGGGATTTGGTACCCAAGATTCAAACTTGGGATTTGGTACCCAAGATTCAAACTTGGGATTTGGTACCCAAGATTCAAACTTGGGATTTGGTACCCAAGATTCAAACTTGGGATTTGGTACCCAAGATTCAAACTTGGGATTTGGTACCCAAGATTCGAACCTGGGATTCAGTACCAAATATTCGAACTTGGGATTTTGTACCCAAGATTCAAACTTGGGATTTGGTACCCAAGATTCGAACCTGGGATTCAGTACCAAACATTCAAACTTGGGATTTGGTACCCAAGATTCAAACTTGGGATTTGGTACCCAAGATTCGAACCTGGGATTCAGTACCAAATATTCGAACTTGGGATTTTGTACCCAAGATTCAAACTTGGGATTCAGTACCCAAGATTCGAACGCAAAGACTTGCCAACATCCCAGCTTGTTTCTAAACCCAAGTCTCATTCCAGGCAAGCACCGCAGATGGAAATGGATTGTTTTATGCCAAGCTACCTTTGGCCGCTGTAAAATAAAGAGGAGTGAGTGGTGGTTCCAAGGTTAATTTCCTCTGTCCAAAAGCCGTATGTCTGGCTCCAGGATAATCTGATTATTTTCCCCCAGCGTAAACATTACGCTTGGGATCATAGGAGAGACAGGCTATTTCAGGCGTGTTATGGACTGAAAAGATTCAGGGCAGCTCCTTTGTTGATGCTGAGCCGGGCAAGGTCTGCTTCTCAATCCTGGCTCCTGCATTGTGTGACTGCCCTTGGTGTATATTCCAGAAACCACAGCCTTCAAAAGGGCTGTCACATGTCAACAAATTTGTTCTCGGGTCCCTGGAAGGAGTAATGGGGACAGGATGAGGCACGGTGTCAAAACGATCTGGGTGTGAGTGTGTGTGTGTGTGTGATTCTCTTATTTCCACCTTCCTCACTATAAAACCGGACTTCTTTTTGTGCATTAAGCAGGACACAGCGAAGGGAAAAGCAGAATATTTATTTTGGGGTACGTGGGAGAAAGCCACCTTTCGGCTGGAGTTTGTTGAGCTGCTTTGCTTCTTCTTCCTGCTTTTTCTCCCTCTGACGGGCTTCCCATTTCTCGATTCCATGATCTATTTCCTTGGAGAGCATGACTACACGGCGCTGAGAGGGCAAGATGGAGAGAGGGGTTAGTAAATCTCTCAGACCAAGTCCACGTTTTCAACAACCTTCATGCAAGAAAGATAAGCACCAATTTTCCAATCCGTTGCGGAGAACAACCCTATATTTCTCAGTGACAAACAGATTTTATTCTTAGCTGTCTTTGTTTCCCAAGCAATCCTGTCAAGCAACTCAAGAGGGGTTTTAACTCTCCAAAGGCATGAAATTGCTTCAGCACTATTGTACGACTCACAAAATAGCCATTTTGAAGATTTCAAAGCGGTGGAAAAGGATGTTCAGCCTTTAAATCTGAAGGTGTCGTGCAAACAGATAGCCTGTTAGCTTCCTCTTTCAACCCAGATGTGAGATACAAGAAGAGCTGGGTGTAAACTATCCAGTCATGGGGCATTCTTTACATGTTCAGAGGCGCACACTACAAATTCACAGGCTCCAGGGTGGCCCTTTGTCCTGAGGTCCATGGAAGAAGTGTAATGGCCAGGACTAGCAACAAATGTGAAAGGTGGACAGCTAAGAAAGGGGACAGGATTGTTTCAGTTTGGTGCAGGAGGAGAGCTTTGTGGACTTCCAGACAGATGAATAAGTGGGTCCTAGATCAAATCAAGTCTGAACCATCTCTGGAAGCAAAAAAAATTAAAATAAAAATAAAATGAAATTGAGGCTGTCCTACTTTGGGCACAATGTGAAAAGGAAGGATTTTCTGGAAAACACAATATTGCTAGGAAAAGTGGAAGGCAGCAGGAAAAGAGGGAGACCCAATATGAGATGGACGGACTCTCTAAAGGAAACCCCAGGCTTGATTTTACAAGCGCTGAGCAAGGCAGTTGAGGACAGGAAACTGCGGAGATTGAAGGCAGTTGAGGACAGGAAACTGCGGAGACTGCTCTCATTCATAGGATCGCCATAAGTCAGAGATGATTTGACGGCAGATAGCAAGAACAGGGTAGTTCTTCACAAGTTACATTTAAACTCTACATTTCGTTGAGGACAGGAAACTGCGGAGATTGCTCTCATTCATAGAATTGCCATAAGTCAGAGATGATTTGACAGCAGATAGCAAGAACAGGGTAGTTCTTCTTGAGTTACATTTAAACTCCACATTTTCTCCAATTTATTTAATTATATTTAAGTGTGTGCTATTTGGCAGCTGACGGCTTCTGAAAGGTGAGCTTAAGAAGGTTTTCAAGATAACACAACATTTTCAAACAGTGGTTTTGATGTTGCTAACGAGTTTTACCCAGCGGGTTTTCATGAGTTTTACCCGGTGAGTAAGGGGGGGGGATCTGAAGCTCCTGAATTCTAATCCAGTATTCTATCCACCCCATCATACTGTCCCAAAGGTATGGACTTATTTGAATTATATTCTGCCTTTCTCCCAGAAAATGGAGAAGGGTCACAGCAAAATTGAAACAGATATGGACCCAAAAAAAAGAAAAAAGAGAGAGAGAGGGAGAGAGAGATGAAAACGAGACATGGACAAACTCCAACAGAAAAGGGTGTCACAAGGTTTGAAACACAAAGAACAATGGAACACTCTTGAATAAGAAAGCAGTCTAGAAACCCATCAAGTAATAAGAAAAAGAGGAAGAAAAGCACAGAAACAATCGGCTGAAAACCTTCCTCCAGCGTCCATGACTTTCTCTTCAGGTAGGTTTTTAGACTAAGAGAGTAACTGGACGAAGAGGTTTGTCACTTTTCAAAGAAGAACCGGACTGTGGATTCACCAGACTGACATTCCAACCAATAGGTAGGTTTTTAGACTAAGAGAGTAACTGGGCGAAGAGGTTTGTCACCGTTCAAAGAAGAACCGGACTTTGGATTCAGCAGACTGACATTCCAACCAATATAAAGTGGTGCCTCGCATTACGACGTTAATTCGTTCCAGCGAAATCGCTGTAGAACGAAAACGTCATAAAGCGAAAATAAAAAAGGCATTGAAACGCATTAAAACCTGGTTAATGCGTTCCAATCGGCTAAGAACTCACCGTCCAGAGAAGATCCTCCATAGGGGCAGCCATTTTCGGGTGCCTGACCAGCGAAAAATTGCTCCTAAACCCATCGGGGAGCCATTTTGAGCACCAAGCAGCCATTTTGAAACCCCAACAATCAGGACACAGCGGGGAGCCATTTTGAGCACCAAGCGGCCATTTTGAAACCCCGACAATCAGGTGTTTTGATAGTCGGGAAGCGAAAATCGGTTACCTGTTTCGGGAACCAATCATCGCGCAGCGAAATTCCCCCATTCAAAACGTTGTCGTAATGCAAATTCGTCATTAAACAGAGTGCTCGTCTTGCGAGGCACCACTGTACCACACTTCCTAAATCCGTTGTATAAATGTAGTGCCTTTAATGGTGTTCCACCCATCTGAGATGGAATCTGGATCCCTCTCCCAAGGGACAAAGCAGAGCGACAACTTTAGCCTCGCTTGTTTTGTTCCGTTCAGCAAGGCTCAAGGGCATGAGTTGGTTTCTAGCACCCTAAAACCCAATGGATCACCTGTGTGCAGTGCAGTGGACAGACTGTCGGATTAAGACTCAGGAGACACGGGTTCAAATCCTCACTTCACCACAGAAACTCACTGGGCGATGGCACAGGAGAAACGACTCCTTAAATACCTCGCACGCCTTGAAAGCCCATTAAGGTCGCCCAAGAATGGAAACCGCTCAGTGCCACCCAACGACCTGTCCAGAAGCCCTCTGTTCTCTCCTAAGAATTCCTAACATTAAACTTTCCAAAGTTTGGGGAACCGTCCCCAACTTACAGCAAGCTCCTTGTTTTTTTCCTTCCGAAGGAGTTGACGTTTCATGGGTGGAGCAGGCCGTCCATCTGGGGAAACGGGAAATAAACTGTATTAAACAACTTACTCCCAGCCCCTCTCTGCGCTAGAGTATTACAGGACCCCCTTATCCATGGGATCAGGATCCACGGATTCATTTATTTACCATCTGAAAATACTGAAAATATTAAAAGAACCGCCCCCCCACAAAAAAACTATTTTCACATGTATTACCAGAACTGGTCTGCAGAGGGAGACAGAGACTGTGCTGTGAAGACTTGTCAGCGAAGAATACACAGCATGGTCTCTGGTTCCCTCTAGTGGCCAGATTTGGCAATGCATGTCATAAATACCCCCTCTATATATATGGAGGAGAAGCCTCTGGGTGCCTCAGGACGGTGAGGGAAGCCCTCAAGTGGCCCCCAAAATTCAACAGAAACAGTCCTGATTCAGGAAGAGGATGTCAGTTGGCAATTTTGGGCTAGTAAAAGTTCTCCCCCATTCTGAGGCTCCTGAAAGCTTCCCTAGGAAAAGGCGGCCAATTATACCTAAATGAGAATTGCTTTTTGGAAGAGTTGTGGGAAATTATAAACATTCAATTATGAAGGAAATAGAACTCTGTTGGTCCCAATGGTGGCTCCACTGATTTAGTTATGTTTGATGAGTTAATCTTACGTGATTCTTGTGTATTTTTTCTTTTTTTAAAAAAATCTTTATTTTAATATATACATATATATATATATTATGTTACTGGTTTCTCTCCTTTTCGTCATTGTACGTTACAGATTGTGCCGTATAAATAAAATGCAAGCAACATATTTTAAAAAAGCTTCCCTGGGGCAATAAGGGAGCACTAAGAAATCATGGAACCTGAAAGGGAGAGATAAGATGCGTTCAGTCAATTGAAGTTAAATACATTGCTTGGATTCCACTTTATTTCTTAAGATGGTTTGCCCTGATCTTTTTTTAAAAAAGTGTAGAAGCTTTCCAGTTTTTAGGGCTTTGTTTTGTTACACTTTCACTTTAAAAGTCATTTTAAATTTTTTTGCTTTTAAAAAATGACCTGGATAATATAGCTTTATTTAATATACACTCGTTTGCTTTTCCTTACCAGCAAATGTCCAGTCAGGGAGGTCTGTTAAAGGCCCGTGCATTGAAGGATTTACAGGTAAACCATGCCTAGGGTACGGGAGAGGGTAGGGAGGAGGGGGAAAAACACACAAACTTTTAGGTAGCTGCCAGAGATTAAATCAAATAACAGAAAACGGGGAGAAAACTGTTATGCTGATTTTGTCACCATTTAATATTACCATATATACCTTGCTTCCCTGAAAATAAGACCTAAGTTGAAAATAAACCCCCTTGTGTTTTTTCAGGATGCTTGTAATATAATTCCCCCTCCAAAACTAAGCCCTTGTTAAGTGAAAGCCCTCCCTCCACCCTTGTGCAGCAACCAGAAGATGACATGACTGTATTTGAATAAATGTAGATTGTTGTACATGAAAGGAATAAAACATTCCCTGAAAATAAGCCCTAATGCATTTTTTGGAGCAAAAATTAATATAAGACCCTGTCTGGGGGTTATTAGACAGTGATGGAGAAGAATTCTGGAGAACTGAGTTCGAATTCCCCTTTGGCCATGGGAACTCACCATGCAGGGGTGGAACTGATAAAGCCACAACCAGATGCATGATCAGCATTGGCCTGGCATCTTGTCAGTTAGCATCAGCAACTTACATGATTTCTTTTCCAAGTGCGTAAAATCTGAATAGGATTTTGGACAATGTTCCAGAACTTGCCAAATGTTGTTAGACTGCAACTTCCTTTAGTGGACTGCAGATCTCAATCATCAATGATTGAGAGCTGCAGTCCAACTACATCTGGAAGGTCTTAACTTCCCACCCCTCTCCCTATATAGTAGGACACAAGTACTTCCCTCCACCTCACACCATCCTTTTCTGGCTGGCTCTCTCTTAGCACCAGTGTGGTCGTTCCCCCCACCTCTGGCACTCACTTCACTCTCCATGGGCCACAGGATTGGTCCACAGTGCTGCAGTGAAGATTTCGAGACACGAAAGTAAGTTTTGCCAGATGGGGTCCTGCAGAGATAAACGCCAGAGGAGAAAAACACAGGATTAAAAAAAGCACCATGGTGTCTTGCTTCTTGGCGATACCATTTTAGAACGGTATGTACTACAGACAGACCATCAAGCTTTAGAATAAAAAACACACACATACATCCTACAGACAGACCATCAAGCTTTAGAATAACACATACATACATTATCTTAAAGCAACAACCCTGTGAAAACAGACCAGTATTTATTATTGCATGTCACAACTTGAGACTAAAGACGGCATCCTCTTTGAGGCAAATTTCACAGCAGAGGCAAAAAATGATCTGAGGACTTGGCCATGACATGGTTGATGCTCGCCGTCTAAGGCAGAAGAATGCAGAAACACTTTCCACAGGAAATTGTACATTTGTAAAGCCAAGATAGAGAAGTTATAAGAATGCTGGGCTAAAACCTGGAAGCTGTGAGTTCAAGTCCCGCCTAAACATGACTAAATTCAGAGTAACCTTGGCTCAGTCGTTCTTAGTCTGATCTACCTCACAAGGTTGTTGTGAGCAATATGTGGGTGTCAGTAACATGTCTTTCCTTGGAAAAAAAGGGACAGAAATGTAATTAATAATAACAACCACCAATGATAAATAAAGGAGTGCTTAGCTCAAATTTTTCCTGTTATTGGTTCTAGCAATATTAAAAGGCAGTCTGAAATTCCAAATTACTTTCATTACAATCCGAAAAGGAAAAATAATCGACCAATGAAATAATCACATTTAAAAAACATAAAGCCACGCACCACAGCACACCCTCTGAAGGTTTGCAAATTTAAACGCAAGAGTGCACTTAAATGTAAATGCAATGCTCCTGTTTTGCAAGGATGAATTGCAAAATACACTTTTTAAGGCACCCAGGCAAGCATGATGGTTAGAGGGATATCCAGTTAGCAAGTTAGTCTCCAATATAGTACAATTATTGCACATTTATTTTTACGGAGGCTCCATATATGTCTGTTTAAAAGGAAATCCCTATGAACTGGAATTAGGCCTCCACTGAACTCAATGGGACTTATTTCAGGCTCATAGACGGATATAGAATTGCAACGTCCAAGTCTCCCTTCTTCCACCCAGGGTAATTTTTCCCACCGCAGATAATCTCCATACTTAGCCTTTGGGTCACGCAAGCTGCCATTTTGACGATAATAAGACACGGAAGGACCACGCGATTGCGTTCGCTCGGCTGGTACGGAAAAATTCGGGATGGGAGCCGCCATCTTTGGAAGCCTCCATGGGCGCAGCCATTTTGAATGGTGCTCCCTGAGGGAGACGCTCACGCGCGGCCGGAAGAATCCGGCCCTCTCGTGGAACGTGAGCAACGTGAGCGCCAGGGAGGCGCCATCTTGTACGGATTATTTCCCGAACCGTACGCAACCGCAAAGAAGAGAAAGCTTCTGAAGATTAAGTCATGGAGATAAATTTCACTGCGGTCTCCAAACAGCTTTTTTCATGCCATTTGGAAAATGGGGCTATTTATTTGTTTATTATCTCGGTTTAAAAAAGAAGTTGCCTAAATCCATGGGAGCAGCCATTTTGACAAAGGAAACGGGAGACCCGGATGTGAAGACCGGAAATTAAGGAACGCCATTTTGTAACGCATTCGGAAGTCGGCTTCTTTCACCATATTGGGTTCGGGCACGCCCTCTGAGTGTCCTTTTTGTGGGGCAGAAATGGTTACTTTCCTCTGTCAAAACTAAAAGTTATACCAATTCCCAAAACTGCACGCCTGTGGCTTTGACCGAGTGGCTTAATTTTTTTCCCAAAATAAAAATTTACAGCGGCTTAGGTCGCCATTTTTCTTAAGGGAGGAAAACGCTGAACCTCCATCTTGGAAATGGTCAAAGTGTCGGTGGCGCCATCTTGGATGCTGGTTGCTAAGGAAGCCGTCGCTCTTGGTAACGAAGTAAACAGGAGAGTCGCTCAAGGCGAAGAGCAGGAGAGTTTTGTTTGCGGCTCGTGTGAAATCGCGGACTCCTGGGTTCTTGCGGGTCGGCCTTTGGGTAACAGGAGAGGATAAATCCCAAAATATCGGCATTGATTGCATGAACTATGCGATCAGTATGGATATTTTGGAATTTTCTGCTCTCCTGTTACATTTTATGGATGAATAAGAATGAAATAAACAAATAATCTATATTTTAGCATCTCGATCTAAAAATTAAGGGAAATCATATTGAGAATATGTGAAGGGTCTCCAGGACATGGTCTGGACTGAAGATATCGGCTTGCACTGTGATGAATTATAATGCACTGGAGCCCTGAGGCAGGAAAAGTATGGCAACTCATTAATATAGGGAGTTCAGATATGGGTAAAACAGCACACACACACACACACAAACTCACCCGAAGACCCTCCTTTTTCACACTTGTTCTAGCCACATTTACAGAGAAAATTGGTCTCCCACTTGTTGAAAGTAAATGTTGATTCAAAATGCCACTGGAGCAAGCCTTGAGGATAGGGTAGCAAAGGTTTCAGCAGACGTCTTTCTGTCTGAAAATGAACTCTATGTGATTTGAAAGCTCACTACACACCTCAGTGGAGGGGGGGAACCATGTGGATGATCTGTGTTTGCAATTCAACTGACTTTCTCCCCACCCATTGGAAAACTCATACAGGACACGGAGAAACTGAAACATCCACCCCCGCCACCATACACTTCACTAGGCCAAATAGACTTCAGTGTATGTTTTAAAGATCTAACGACTAAACGACTAAACACACATATATTTATTTACCCCGGCTGGAAGAGGGCAGCTTATTTTGCTTTTGCCATGCCGGTAAAAGCAGCCGACTTCGGACTGGCGCAAGTCTGTTCTTCTCTGCCGAAGAGTTCTGTGCAAGCGGGAGTCTGGCTGCCCTTCTGGAGGTCGAAAGGCTGCTGCAGGAAGAGCACGATCCGTGTGAGCAAGGGTGGAAGACTTCAGCACGGCTTCTGCAAGAACGGGAGGGCCCTTTGTGCAAGGCATAGCGCCGGTGCCAGCCACTTACCTTCCATTGTGCCGAGATACGCTCCCCCTGCCCCCACTTGGCACCCGATGGACCTTGGACCCAGTCAATGCCTTGCCCTTCCATACCCCCCACTCCTTATCCCGCCTCCGGCAACCCTGGTTAGTTCCTCAAGTTAAATCTGCTGTCCCGGCAGCTTTCTTTTCTCTTTATTTCCAAGCCTGTGGCTGCAAGGACAGAAAGGGAAGCTGAGCCGGAAACGGTGAGTGCCTCTCCGTTTATGTCTCCCATCATCTCCACCCCGTGCCCCTTTCGGCAATTTAAAGAAAATGCCCTTGGTCGGCAGCTATCAGACCCCCAGGTCCTGGACTTTATTATCACGCTTTGCCAGCCGAAACCACCGCTTTGTTAGCTCCTCGCTTCTGGGCTGCAGTCACGAGAACCCAACTCAAAAACGACAAATCCTGCAAAGCCTGGTTTCCCAACCCTGTAAATCAGCCAAATGTCCCCGTTTTGGCATTTCAGATAATGAGATAGTGTCCAGGCAACCTGAACCTCCAGGTTTCCTCACTCGGCTTGTCTGACTCATTTTATTATTATTATTTTTTAAAAAAATTAGATTCCTTCCTCTTCAGTTGTTTAGGTGAACCGGGAGGGGAAAGGCAGATCCTGGATCCCACAGACTAACAGCGGCATCTCAAATTCCTTCCTTTCTCTCTCTTACTTGTCTCCTATTATACCAAAAGCCCCCCCCCAAACCCTATTTTCTGCCTGTCTTGAGTAAGCCAGCAGGAGCTATCTGGGGGGGGGGGAACTAGCGCCTCCTAGGGGCCAAAGCCCTCCTGTTTGGGGTGCAAATGGCGCCACCTAGCGGCCAAGCTTGTAAGTGACTCTTATCTTTTTTGTCAAGGGATGGCTAACCCAACCGGTTCTGGGGTGACAGCCCAGGACGACCCCCCTGCGGCGACGACACCCAACGGTAACTCTCACCAGCCCCCTGAGGACTCCATGAAACTGAAGAAGGAAATCTCCCTGCTCAATGGGGTGTGCTTGATTGTGGGCAACATGATCGGCTCGGGCATCTTCGTCTCGCCCAAGGGCGTGTTGGTCTACAGTGACTCCTACGGTCTTTCCCTCGTCGTCTGGGCGGTGGGGGGCCTCTTTTCGGTTTTTGGGGCTCTCTGCTACGCCGAGCTCGGCACCACCATCAAAAAATCCGGGGCCAGCTACGCTTATATCTTGGAAGCCTTCGGGGAGCTGCCAGCCTTCATCCGTCTCTGGACGTCCCTCCTCATCATTGAGCCCACCAGCCAAGCCGTGATCGCCATCACCTTTGCTAATTACCTGGTGCAACCTTTCTTCCCGTCCTGCGAGGCGCCGTACCTGGCCGGCCGACTCTTGGCCGCCGCCTGCATCTGTAAGTGGGGTGCGGTGGTGGTAGCCGTTTGGAAAAGAAGTGGTAGACCAGAATCTTTAAAAAGTTACTTCTTTGGGCCATGTGGAGGGGATCCTGGGATTTGTAGTCCAAAGGACAGCAAGGGCTTCCCCCAAGCTTTTGCTGGAGCAATGCCAAGGGTGATTCAGCTTCAGGTAGGTTGAAGGGCAGAAACCTTTTGCTCTGCTATCTAATCTTCCTTTGCTTTTTTAATCTCTCTCTGACCTTCCATCTCTTCCCGGGCAAAAGCCCTTCCTCTCCTTTTCACCACCCAGCAATGGATTTGAATCTCGTTTAATCTGTTGGGCCCCGGGGGGGGGGGGGGGAAGTGTTCTGCAAAGAACTTTGGAGAACATGCTTTATGCATCATTTATAAAAGTTATCTCTCCCCCCCCCACCCCCGAAGGCCAGGCAGCTACACGCTGACTTCAAGGAGTTGTAATCTAAGGCACTTTACCAAATTTGAGTGTACCCACTAGGCAAGGCTGTTTTTGACAGAGAAGACCTCCTCCCGGCTTCCACACCCTTTGGCAGTTCTCACGGCCTCCGTCAACGTTTGGCGCAGAAGTCAAACTCCTCCAATTTCCCACTCGTGACTCCTTAACATTCCCCCCCTCCGGCCAGGTGCCTACTGTTTAGACTAAGCCCAGTGTATTTTCCCTGCTCCATTTTGCAGAGAGGCGTGTCACCCGTTGAACATTTGCCTGAAGCAGGCAGAGGGATCCAGGGAAGGGAAAAGACGGCTGTCTTAACCGCCACCCTTGCTTAACTTTTACTAGGTGCCTTGAATTCTCCTTTATTAGAGCGGAGAGAAAGAAGTCAGTTCTAATCCCTTCAATTCCACGAGAAAAGGAGGCTGAAAGCCGCTTGGCGCAGAGGCCAAACTGCAGTCCTGCAGTCAAAACTCTGCTCACGGCCCGGGTTCGGTCCCAGATAGCTGGCTCTTGGTTCGCTCAACCTTCCAAAGTCGGTCGATTACGTATCCATCTTGCTGGAGGAGGCCAGTCCTGCAGTCAAAACTCTGCTCACGGCTCGGGTTCAGTCCCAGATAGCTGGCTCGTGGTTCGCTCAACCTTCCAAAATTGGTCCATTACGTATCCATCTTGCTGGAGGAGGGGGTGGGTCTCCTGCATCATTAAACTGTAAACGACCCAGAGAGTAAACCTGTCCTTAGGTTTTGACACGCCATCGGACAAATAAGCACGATGTGGCCCAAATAGGTGTTATCGTTAAGGCAGTGGGGAAGGAAGAAAACTCTGCACATGCTCAGAAGGATGCTGTTTTGCTGTCATGTACAGTATTCTGACTCATGGTCTGGTGACCTCCAGTACCAGCACAAGCTTCTCTCTCTCTCTCTCTCTCTCTCTCTCTCTCTCTCTCTCTCTCTCTCACACACACACACACACACACACCACACACACACACACACACACACACACACACACACTCTCGGAGGGTAATTCAGGGTTTCTCTCAGGAAACCAGTGACTTCAGCAAAGAGCCAGGCAGTGGTGCTGAGTCGGCAGCTGTCGTCTGGATCCAGCTGGTCAGACGCGCTGCGTCAGTTTTCCCCCCTCCCCAAAACCGCGCTCGTTGCAACATGCAGGAATGCGCCGCCTGTGAAGGCTGTGGGCGCTCGCCTCCCCGGGGTCGGACCGGAAAGCAGGCTGCGGGGGAGAAAGAGAAACCCGACTCATAGGATGGATGAGGGAGCAGAGGGAAAGGGTAGAAAGCTGGTGCAGAGAATAACAACCATCATAAAAATGCTCAAAATTTAGGTACCCCTTTTTTTCCTGGAACTCCCAAGGATTTCTCATACATGGAATCCCCAGACGACATCCATGACATGCTCGTCTTTAGGGTGCCGCTGTACGTTTGCTTTTTCCAGCCCCAAAGGGGTAGAGTTTCCAAATTCTGAATTTTACAGATATGTAAACTGAGGCCCAGTGTGGCTTAACATCAGCTTCTGAGTTTGCACGTAGGCCCTGAAAACAGACAGACACCCATACACCCAGACCCTGAAAAGCTGATACGCTGCTCTTTGGATTGCTATCCTGCCCAAGAAATTTGGGGTTTAAGATTCCGTTTCTCCTATTTAAGATTCTTCCTGGCTTATCCTCCTCCTCAATGGATCTAAGTCTCTTCGCCAGGCTGAACAGTTAAGTCTCTTTCAAGAAGACACCGCCCCTTCCTTTGATGACCTTAGTGGCTTTTTGTCCATGCTCAGAGGACCCATTGGATTTGAAAACTGGCAAAGGTGCACTCCCGCAAGGCCTTCTTGGCTAGGTGCCTGGGTATGCCCTTAGGTTTTGACACGCCATCGGACAAAGAGCATCCTTCCCTGTGTGTTTAGAGTCCGGAGAATTTAAGCCTCACGCTTCCCTTTCTCTCTGGATCCTCTCGGGCTCAGCGGGATCGCTGGCAGACAAGCAGAGCAGAGTAGGATTATTCAGGATCTTGACGGGATTAAGGACTAAGAGGCGTGCTGGGGAAAAGCCTTTGCAAGCGTTCAGGACGGCTCGTTCTGAAATTTCGTTAAGACACTCAAGTGGAATCTAAAACGGTTCACGTTTATCCGTGGTTTCGCCGCCGCCGCCGCTGCTGCGCCTGTTCCAGGCCTGATAAGGGAAAGGAATTTATTGCCTTGTTTATAAAGACACCCTGTGTTGTTGTTGTGCCGATGTCCTTGATTTCCCTCCTTTCGTAATTAGGAAATCGGCAGGCATCCTCACAACTTTAGAACCACAAACAGTTGCTCTGGGGCTGAGGCGGCCCTGTGAACCAGCCCTCTGGCTCCCTCGGCTATCTTCTCTGGCAGAAAGCCGAATCCTACACCATCTCTCCTGAGTCACAACAACATGTTCCAGGAATAAAGATCAAGGTTAGACAGATGGGATATAAAAGCCACAAGAGCCAAGGGGGGGGGAGGAAAAGAAGGAATAAATAAGTCATGTGCCTCTTCTTGAAGACACGGGGTGATATGCAAGAAGTTTCTATTCTATTTCTGTACAGTGGTGCCTCGCTTAACGACGATAATCCATTCCAGGAAAATCGCCGTTAAGCGAAAACATCATAAAGCGAAAATAAAAACCCCATTGAAACGCATTGAAACCCGTTTATTGCGTTCCAGTGGGGTAAAAACTCACCGTCCAGCGAAGATCCTCCATACGGTGGCCATTTTCGCTGCCTGTATAGGGAGGAATCCGTCCCTAAACACAGCAGGGAGCCATTTTAATCACCCAGCGGCCTAAATTCTGAAACCGCCGATCAGCTGTTCAAAAAACGTTGTTTTGCGAAGAATCAGTTCCCGAAGCAGGGAACCGATCATCGCAAAGCGAAATTCCCCCATTCAGACCATCGTTTTGCAATTGCAATTGTGATCGCAAAAAGATCGTCGTTAAGCGGTTTTGTCGTAATGCGGGACAATCGTAAAGCGAGGCACCACTGTATTAGTTTTGGATGTTTCTCTGTGCGGTTCCTTGCAGTCTTGCCGATTCTTCGCGGTTTTGTCATAATGCGGGGCAATCATAGAGCGAGGCGCCACTGTATTCGTTTTGGATGTTTCTCTGTGTGGTTCGTTGCAGTCTTGCCTATTCTTTGCCCTGACCCGATCGATCGGCGACTGGCTCCCAAAATTGCTTAATGGGTTGGTTGTATGTTGGTGGGCTGTGGACAAGTTTCTGTTTTTCAAATACCCAGCATGTTTGAACTACAGGTGGCCGCTGGATAGCTCAGTGTCTTAGGTGTCTAGAGGTTGGGAGTTCAGTTCCCTACTGGGCCTCCTTGAGAAAGGCTGGATGATCTTCTATAGGGTCCCTTCCAAATCTGCAGTTCAAAGTTTATTTAAAAAGGAAATCTCCCTGCAAATCATGGTCCCAATTTTTGAAAAGCTGAGGCAGCGAGGACATAGTGGTGAGCGGTGGTTGGAGGTCAAAACCCGGTGGAACTTGGGGAAGGCCCTTTTGGATTCCAGATCCCTGAATCCTTGCAGTAGCCTCGTCATGTTGGTTGAGGGATGCTGGGAGCTGTAGTTGTGAAAAAACACACACAAACCTTTTCCGAGAGATGGGTGTGGTGGAGATGTGAGTAAGTGGCTAGACTAGCGGTTTCCAACCTTGGATGCTCGGGTGTTCCTGGACGAAAACCCCAAGAAGCTTTCACCACTAGCACCGCTGGTCAGGATTTCTGGGAGTTGCAGTCCCAGAACATCTGGGGATTCAAGGTTGGGGAACCACTGGTAGACAGTGGACCTCTGCGAGCTACCGATGCATCAGACGTGGGCGACCCAGAGTAAGAGGCTGTTCCTTTCATCACCCATAACGGCCTCCACCCTTCATAACCCTCTAAGCCAGTGGTTCCTAACCTTGGCTCCTCAGATGTTCTTGGACTACAACTCCCAAAAATCTTGGCCAGCACAACTAAGGGTGAAGGTTTCTGGGAGTTTTAGTCTAAAACATCTGGGGACTTAAGGTTGGGGACCATTGCTCTAAGCCAGTGGGCTTGGGTAAATCCAGATGTTCTTGGACTGCAGTTCCCAGAAACCCTGACCAGCATAGCTGGTGGAGAAGGCTTCTGGGATTTGCAGTCCAAGAACACCGGGGAATCATGCACTCAGCCAGCGTCCCCTCCACAAGGCAGAGAAAATAATCCTGATCTTCCATCCTTCTCAGGTCCCCTTTCTCTATGGGCCTGGGAGCAGGAGATAGACACTGTGCATATCTTAAAACTCTCCTGCAAATATGCACTCTTTTGCTCTGTCTCCTTGTTGAA